TGCGCCATGCAGGAACCTCCTCCGGTGGCCAGGGAGCAGCCGGGGATCAAACCAGCGCTGCAGAGGCTGTGGGCAGCTTCACAACCCAGCGCTCAACTGCTGCGCCACCGAGGAGGCCCCTCTCTTAGTTTAGACTTATAAATTCATTTATATATTTAATGTCTTCCTCCCCTGATTGGCTAAGTTTCATGAGAGAAGGGACCACGTGTAATTTGCTCATCATTAAATCTTTAAGAAGTTTGGTGCTTGGAACAGAGCAGGCCCTCAAGGAATATTTCTTGGCCCAGCACAGTGCCTGTTGGGACTCATTGCTGGACTGAGTGAGTCAAGGGAGTAGAAAGGAGCACAGCTCTTCTGGAACTTTCTGTGGACAGAAAACCTTAAAATAGCCCATATAAATAAAGGTGTCTGGGCATATTTATGGGAGTGGGGAATGGGGAAGGAAGCAAAAGGCATGGTTGGGTATTAGTGCAATAGAGACTGGACCTGTCATTCTTTAGTGCCTACTATTCCCCTCCTCCAAGCCCCCTGGGGGATGGGCAGGAGGCTGTGTGCAACAGCAAATAGAAAAAGCACAGGGAATCAGAAACAGTCAGTGAGCATCATTAGAATGAGCTAGTAATAGTCATAATAACTGCCATTTACCAAGTTTCAAGCCCTGTGCTCGATACTTTCCCATACATTAGCTCCTGTCTTCCTCAAAATGAGTCTGTGGAGAGAGATATTACCTCCATTTCATGCTGTGGAAACTAGGACTCAAGTTGGTACAGAACTTGGCAGTGTTCCCACAGGAGTCCAAGGTGCTTTAACTGGTTGTTCTGAGTTCAGAGCCCGGACTCTCTTTAACTTACTACACTATTAGCCAGAAGAAGAGTCTAGAAACATGTAGAATTGCCTGTAAGTGAGGGGTTAAAGTAGCTTCTCTGGAGCAATTTGGTCACTTGCTAGAGCACCAGACAGAAGATATTTGCTGCTCTTTGGGTAGGGGACCTGGGAGAGCAGGATCTGGCTTGAGCCATGACAAGGGGGCTGGAAGCAGGATGGTTTCTTAGTGGGGCAAAGCTGAACTTGGCCATGCTTTTGGTCCTCCCGTTTGCCCAAGGAGCGTCCCCAGGTCATGTGATCTATTCAGCCATGTGACTGAGTGGCGGGTGCTGTGGTTGCTGGCAGCTCACCAGTGAGAGCTGTGTGTCAAGATGAGACGTGTGCCAGACATCTAAGTTGTGGCCCAACTCAGCCCCCTGAACTTGAACCTAGATTCTAGAGCAGTGAAAACAGCAGTGACAGCTGTGAAAACAAGTCGCCTCGCTCATCTGGGCTAGGCTAGAGTTGTCAGGACCGTCATCATTAGAGAGGGAATCAGCAGCGTCTGTCCCGCCGGGCCCTTGTTTCACTTATTGTAGTTACGAAGCCCTGCCATGTTCCCACTCGATAACTACTGTAAAGGATGCCAAAGAGGAGTGAGAGACAGAAAGAGTGAAGGAGAATTAATTTACCACTGGGTGAAATGAAAATGTACTGAAGTGTAATGGAATTTCATTAACTTCGGAAATGATGGTGAATGCTGTCCAAATAATTCTTACTAATGCATAATTCACAGCTGAAAATAGAGCCAAACTCCCCTAAAAAGCACATCCATTTATGCCCCCAAATTAATTTGGTGTGTTATTCAGGATGGTTGACAGGATAAAAGATCTACTATGAAATGTAATCATCTATTAAGATTGGGAATCTATGAGTCTTTCTAGTTTAGTAGATGATGGTGGCTGATAACAAGTGGCATCTTGAGAGGCAGACACCCACAGTCCTCATCCTTATCATTTGAATCTCCCCAAAGACATCATTTCAGACATAACCACAGAGAAGTTAGGATGAGCTTTGAGATCTCCATAGCAACCATGGCCCAATTCATATATATATATCCGAAAAGCAAATTAAAATCAGTTTCAAAAGATTCAAGTGGGGTCAGGAAAAGGCCTATACCTTTTCTGACTGGTGATGTCTTTACATTATATGTTTATATAGCATATAAATATAGATAGATCGATATTACATACATTTACATATAGAAAGATGTTTAAATTCCTTTCCCATTTTATGTAATACTGTCTAGCCTATTTCACGTACTCTCAGCGACATTTATCACTTAATGTCTCAAGATTATGAGCTTTTAAATAATCTCTTCACTAAATCCCTCTTAAGCTTTTTGTATACTCAGGAGAGTGGTAATGGGGGAGAGACCTTTTCACCTTAAGATCTAAAACAAACCCCCACCATGGTTGGCAGAGAGAGAGACTATTATTAAGCAGCAGGGCAACTATTGGCACAGCCTCTACCAATAGGAACCTGTAATTTCAGAGGCCAGTCAACACCTCACAAAGAAGGAATCAAGACTTCCCCCCCACCAGTCCCTTCATCCAATTAAAGAGATTCTTGGTTACACCTGTAAATACTAATGTTGGGAAAGACTTCTGGAAATCTCCAAACTCCTTCCCCAGGGTGGATTGCACTGTGTGGAGGTAGGGAAGTCATGGGAACACTGCTTTCCAGGGCCATGCCTACTGCTTTTAATGGCCAGTCCTGGGGTGACTTGGGGTGGCAAATAAGCACATTAGGCGTGAAAACAGAAGATGATGAAGTGGGAGGTGTTCATTGAGTCACCTTGCACACCCTAGTGATCAGAAGTGGATTTGTATGGGGGATTAAGATTGTCTAAGGCCACTGTGATATTTTCATGAATAGCCTAGCTATCCTGGGTGTGGTGGTTGCAATCAAGCACACTAGCTGTGGATACAGTGATGTAATAAAGTGGGAGGCAGCTATTGATCCAGTTCCCACTAATGGGGACTTAGTTTGAGGGGCCATCAGTGCCTCACAATGAGGCACCATGGTCACCTGCTACCCCAAGCCACTCAGAGACCACGCTGTGATGACATGTTAATAAATATATGAAAGATGACATCTGCCAGCTCTATTTCTTCTACAAGGGTGTGGTGCGGTGTGCAACCTGGAAGTGTTATGGAGGGAACACTATCATGTAGAGGCACCCTATTTCTCATAAGAGCCTGAACCTATGATATGGGTGGTCAGGCAGAATCAGTCACTTTGGTTACTGATATCGATACTCTGATTAATTTTTTTATAGAGGCATGTTTTTTTAATTTGTTTGTTTGTTTATACATGCACTGGGTACAGTCAGAAGCGCGGGAGGGTGAGAGAATTCACCAGAGCCAGCGCGGGGAGCAGAGCAGGCAGAAGGACCGAAGTACACTGCTGAGGGGGAGCAGCGGGAGCAGGAGAGGTCTGCGCGCCATGCGGGACCCTCCTCTAGTGGCCGGGGAGCAGCCGGGGATCAAACTGGCGTCGCAGAGGCCGCGGGCAGCTTCGCAACCCAGTACTCAACCGCTGCGCCACCGGGGAGGCCCGATACTATGATTAATTAAGAGGCAGTCACTGAGACAGTTTCCTCCAATGAGAAACCTCAGTTAGGAGGGTCATCAACACCTCACAAAGGAGGCTTGTTGGCTCTGCCCCCATCAGTCCCTCAGCAGCACCATGGGTGCTGAGGTGTAATCAGACTATTGGTTGCTGATGCCCAGGACTGATTGACATGCAGTCATTGGGTCAGCTCCCACCAATGGGAGACCTTAGTTTTGAGAGGTCATCAATTGCTCACAATGAGGCACCATGGCTACCTGCTAAGCCCAAGTCACTCAGAGAGCACCTTGTGAGGACGTTTTATCAGGCACGAGTACTGCCACCTTCTATTTCTATGTGAGGTGGAAGTGTTATGGAGAGAACACTATACCCAGGGCTGCCATCCCTATTCCTCTTAACAGCCAAACCCTATGATATGAGTGCTCAGGTAGAGCAATCACATTGGCTATTGAATCAGTGGTCTGATTAAGTAGGAGGCAGCCACTGAGCCAGTTTCCACCAATGAGAAATCACATTTAGCAGCCCAAGGCACACTTCACAATGGACACATCATGGTCCCGCCCCCATGGGTCCCGGAGCCAATCAGCGCCTTCGTTGCTGAATTGTGACTAGTAATGACCTGGAAAGTTTGGTGTCCTTTCCTACAGCTTACCTTGTAGTAGAAGTTCTAATACACAAATTCATTATTAACTTCGTTATCTCAGAGTTCCCTAAAGGCTCTCAAGAGCCCCTTCCTCCTTTTCACCCCCATATCTTCACCCAATTTCTCAGCTGCTGTTTTGTGGCCTCATAGCCTCCTTACAGCACAGTATCCTGGCAACACTTGTTAAATCCCCTCGTTCCTGCCCTTTTCCATACTTAAGAGTTTCCATTAACATTAAGACATAATTTACATATTATCCAACATATATTCTAAGTGATTACACAGGAGCCCAGTTCTGTTCTTCAGCAGGCATTCAGGATCCTGTGTGATTTGTCCCTTGTCCCCCCTCCAGCACCTCCGTGTCCCAAGGCTCCTCCCCATCATCTGCTCTAGGCACTATACCCAGGCCTAGTGTAGCTACCAGTGTCTCTTCGTAGACTGAAATGCTTGTTACTTCATTTCTAGCCATACACTTGTCACTCATCACTCAAATTCCAGGTCCGTTATTTCCTTTGAAACCTCCTCCCATCCGGTAGTTTATTTTTTTGCTGTTAATTTGAATTGACTTTGGTGTCCTAACTGAATCTTGGGCTAGAGTACCTGCTTAGTGCCTTTATCTTTTTGCCCTCTAACATTTGTTTAGGGTGCTATATTCAATGAATCCTCATAAACTGCCTCCAACGCTCCTTGAAGTGAAAGAAAGGAAAATAGTGAAGTAAGAGAAAGCAAGAAAAAATAAGAGGAAGAAAGGAAAGAAAGAAGATATGAAAGAAAAAAGGAAAAGAGAAAGCCAAAATGAGGAAGGAGAGAAGGGTACAAAGAAAGAAGGAAAGGACAGAGGGAGGATGGAAAGGAAAGATCTGGAAGAACTTGGTGACTCCTCTGGGCTACTTGTCCCATCCACTGCACCCCCTGTTACCTGGTTCTTTCTGCTCTTCTTGGCCACGTCTGCTTTTTCTGATGGAACTTGAATGATGTCAAGCGTAACTGCTGGCCGGATGAGAGGATGGAGGATGGTAGCTGGATATGAGCCTTCCACCCAGATATGGTCCTGATGTACTCAGGCAGGCTCTTCTCCAGTGTCTAAACTGCCCCAGAAAGGGAGTCTGTATTTATATCCTGGCCCCATCCAGGGCTACTATGATCTGAGCTGACTATGACATAAGTGGACCAGCACTGGGTGCCACAGAAATATATTTCAGTGAAATACAATGTGTATATTTCAATTGACTAGTTGTCTTTTATTATTGAGATAATGTTTGCTTACAGTTGTGTATGTTTTAGGAGTATGGATTCATACCTATGCTACAGAACTAACAATCTCCTGCCACAGTCCATTGTGCCCTCTCTACCCTTTGTTTCCACCCTGAATACTTTTGAAGGTAGAAGAGATATATCTATATATCTCCATAGCAACCATGGCCCAATTCATATATATATGTATATATATATATATATATCCAAAAATATAGATCTGTATCTA